TATTCGCCTGCGATTGGCTAATAAATCACTACTACTTTTATATAGGACAATTTAGCCATCGCAGTCGTTTCTTTGAATCCTTCGGTTTTGAGCTTGCTTGCTTGTTCTGTCAGTACGAATATAGTGATTGGTTAATTTTTAACCAATCACATATTTTAGCGCAAGACTAAGTTTTCCCGCGTTGCGGTGGGAGCCTACCCTTTTTCCATAAAAGAGGCGACTTTTTCACAAGTCGTCAGTAAGATCCAGTAAAATTCACCTGTCCATACAAGTCCACGATCTTGCTCATAACATTTCAAACGCACACACAGACACAGAATTTCGTAATATAAACTTACATTTCTCTATGTGACTTAGCCAAGCTCAATTAACCAGGACTCTGTTGATTTCGAACCATTCTATAACACAACACATTTTTGATCAATTGTATTCTTGTGTTATCTATTCTAACAAACGGACCTTGTTCTAATATTGATTCCTGAACATTTTTCTCTCAAAAAGAACTTTCTTCGAACAATCAATTACAAATCAAAATACAATTAAATGGGAACAACGTCTTTCCCTTAATCTATACATTGAATACAATTTTATTGCATGTTTGTTCTTGTATGTTATTTCAATATATACTTGTTGATTCACAGTTTGGAGTTTTTGTTGTTTACTTGAATTCTGTACGTTGAAAGTATAATAATATAAATAGTCTTGGTCTCTCTACAAACGGACACCTTTACAATTGGTAACCCCGACGTTCCAAAAATAAATCTTTCAACCAATAGGCCCTTACAGTATATTAATAATCCCATCAGAACAACTATGTAACAAGGCAGGCTGGATGCCTGATCTCTATTAAGTATGGAAGCAGATGTGTTACTTAAAATTAGTTTTGGACATCTGATCGAAGACTTTGCAATTGAAAAAAAGTAGGAGAAAACTTTTCAAATATAAATGAAGTGGAAGTATACAGAAATAAATTTTCGCTTGTAGGGGATTATCGTTAAATATTTTTCTAATTGTATTGTCTAGTTTTAAATACTGAAAATCTTTGGTTAAGATTTGGGAAAGCATGTGGATGTTGTGATTAAAATAAAAGACCACGGGAATTCAATTATTTTTTTAGCTTCATAGGTAAGGAGTGTTTCTGTCATGTTAGGAAGCCTTGGTGATAAATTCTTTGATTATCTGTAAATGGATAATTCCTATTAAGAAAGTAATTGCACAGTTGTCCTATGTGTTTGTCGTAATCTTCCTTACGTGAACAGATGCGTTTTATGCGAAAGCATTGATTGTAGATTATAGATTTTTTAGGTTGGTGGATACTAGCTATCGAAATTGAGATAGCAATGACACTCAGTAGGTTTTGTGTATAGTGTAGTGGAGACGTGGTTATTATTGAGACGTACCAGTACATCTAGAAACGGAATGGAAGTGGTAGACTATTCCATAATAAATTTGATAGTGTGGTGGAAAGCATTAAGGTGAATTTTAATGTACAGGTGATTGTTCTCCATAAGAAGATGTCATCTATGTATCCGTGGTAGTGCAGGTGTGCTAGGTGGTATCTCCTAAACATATCTTCAAGGGTATCCATGAATATGTTAGCATAGCTGGGGGCCTATTTTCATTCTCATTGCTTGTACCTCTAACTTGAAGAAAATGGTGCCCGTTGAACTTGAAGTTGTTGTGTTTGAGTACAAAACGTAATACTGTTGGAAATATCTTGTATATAGTAAACGTGGAAGTCTCTGGCGCTTAAAAAAATTTTGCAGACTAGTATGCCTTCCTCGTGTGGGATGTTTGAATATAAAAATGAGACATCCGTGGTCACTAGGAGTGCATTGTCAGGTAATCTATCTATATTATTCAGGATCCTTAGAAAATGGGTGGTGTCTTTGATAGAGCTAGGAATAGTAGTAGAGGTTTGAGAATTTGATCAGTGTGACCAGAAATGTGTTGTGTAAGGATTCCTATACCAAAAACTATTGGCCGGATAGATCTTAAGAGATTCTATCAAGTCATGCATCTTGTGTGGGTTACTGTTGATGTCCTCTATGGAGATGTTGATGGTTGTGTCTGTGACTATTTTTGGAAGTTTATGTAAATTTTAGAATATGTTGGGTTTAGGACTTTCTGGGAGTACAGCCTTAACTGGTGCCTCTATGCTGTGGTCTAGATGGCTGATTAGAGAGTGGAGTTCTGATGTGAAATAATGGTAGGATTTAGGGAGAGTTTTTTTTTTTTTATATAAAAACTTGGATCATTGAGCTGGTATTCTACTTCTGCCATGTATTTACTTTTGTCCATAATGGTAATTAAACTGCCCTTGTCGGCTTGTTTGATAATTATGTCTTTGTTTGCTTGGAGGGATTTTATGGCCGTTTCTTCCTGTCTGGCGGTGTTGTTTTGGTGGAGGTTGCTTTGTATGAATTTTTGTAGGTGGTACCTGGCGCTTTTTATAGTGGTTCGTTTCCGGTCGTTGCGGTTTATACACCCAACGATAATGGGGAGTGTATGACTTTTTTCCATCGGTTGGGATCGTTCCTGGTGGTTTCGTCGCCCTTATTCTTAATAGGGAACTAGAATGTCATCCTGGACCCCAAGATAGACAGGGGGCGGGGAGCTAGCGGGAGTTCCTCGAGCGATCAATTGGATCAGTCCAAGGCATTCGACAGGGTCGCCCATCGTAAACTGGCTACTGTTCTGCAGGCCACCGGATTCGAACCCGACTTCTGCAGGTGGATCAGCACCACTGTATCGTTCCTCTAGTGTTGTGGTACTGGTGAACGGAAAGCGGTTGGGCACTTTTACGATGTCTCGGTTGGTCCGAAAAGGTTGCCCGCTGTCGCCCTTTATTATTTGGCGTTGGAACCCCTCCCGCGTAGGCTGAAAAGCAGGGCGTGCAATTCGGCCCTACGCGAAATCGCTGTCCCTAGTAGAGCTCGAGCCAGGGTTTCCGTGAACGCCTATGACATATCTACTTTTGTGTCGACAGACAGCGACATTGAGGTGGTACTGAACGGTACGAAAAGGTTACGGGGGCCAGGATTAACCGCGACAAGTCTTCCGGCTTGTGGTTAGGTGCCTGGAATGGGGTCGATCTTCCGGGGTCCTTTGGTTGGACGGACGGCCCTGTCCGCATTCTCAGAGTGTGATTTGAACCCGACCTTCAGCTGGAGAAGAATTGGTCAGAAGTACAGGCGAAGGTCGGCGCGTCGATCGAAACTTGGCGCCGAAGGATTGTTGTCCTTGAAGGACAGGGCTGATGCGTGTGCCGTTCACGTCTTTCCTCTTATCCTTTACCGCTTGTCTGTATTTCTTCTCTCTAAGGAACGTAAGAAGACGATCGAGCGCTTGCTCTCGTCCGTCTTGTGGGCGGGACTCAAGCATCACGCCGACAGAGAAGTCTGTGACCAACGTCCGTGTCATGGGTGACTGGGGATGCCGCACTTGGAGAATCACAAATTCGCTTCCAAGCTGGCTTTCGTACGCCACACTTTGACGGGGGACTCGATTTTGGCGGGGAGTATAAGGGCTGCCTTCCCTTACCTTACTATCACTCTTCCCGATTCGAGGGCTGAGTGCCATCGTAGGGTTCGGGATCAATCGAGTTTCCTCCTTTAGTGTCGATCGGCCTTGAAAATCATTCTTCGGTCCAGTGACTTTTCTGGGCGTAGGAGAATCATCTATTGTGAACTACTGGAAGGGGTCGTGAAGGATACACTACGCGCCCGTCTCGGCTTGTCGGTAAACGTGTTTCGCTCGTTTTGGTCTTGGGCGCCAGCGGCGGATTACGTCAGCAATCCTGAGTTTTCGCTTACCTGGCGACTGGTTAGGAATAGATTATCTCTCAATGACATGGCCTTCATATGGGGCTTAGAGGAAATGGCTGCGCACGCGTCCTACCATTGTTCACGGGTTCGCCCCCTATGGGATATTGTCGGCTAGTTGACGCCTCGTATCGCTCCTGAAAAGCTCGTGCTCAATGATTGCGCATACGCGTGTGACAAAGTGTCGCCCCCGTATTCTGGGGTGAAATGGATGGTGTTTCTGTCGCTGCTAGCTACGGCTCGAATAGTGATTTGGATAACGCGGAAGGAGAAAATCTTGCGACGTGAACGCTATTTTCCTCAGGATCTGGTCAGATTCTTTGAGCATCAGCTCAGGTTGAAGATCAGATTTTAACGAAAGGTGGGTGACTGCGGCGAGCTTGGTTCGCGTGAACGGGGCAAGCCTTGATTTTCTTTTTTAAGTGTTTTCCTAAGTCACATCGGGGCGGTTTCCTGTGGAGACCTCTCGCTTCTTGTGTACCTAGTTAATGTGTGTAAGTGTTTTTCTTGGCCTGTTCTCGGCTTCTTCTTCTTTAGTTTATGATCCAAGCCAAGATTCCCAACCTCCCTAATTTGTTTTTTGGCCCCCTTTTTTTCATCTCGACTGAGTCAGTTTTTCTTTCCCCCATGTCCGTATTTATTTTCTCTTTCCCTCTCTCTTAGTGAGAGAGCCTCTTGATTTTGTCTGATGACAGAATACGCGGTCTTTCTCATTTCTTTTGAGGGTTGAACGGGTCCTACTAACATCAATTATTTTTGTTTGTGTGTTTTGTTATATTTTAGTAACTTAGTTTGGTTTCGGGTTCATCCTCCAACTCATTGCTTATCATCGATAAACTTTTATAATTTTATACACGGATTTTTGTGTTTTCATAGGTTCCCCTATGTATGCGGTATTGTGGTTTATGAAGGATTGAATGATGACGGAAGTTTTTATGGTGGATGTGTAAATTGTAAGGAATGAATGGTTCGTGAATCGGATTAGCTAAGATAGTAACGACCAGCCTCAATCCATTTTCCCTTTTTGGCCTTGTGCCACAATTACTGTATTTTCGAGCAATAAATCTCGAGTAAAATGTAGGGGAGATAATTGTTCGAGTTATCGAACTTGATTGCATGGTCATTTTTTTTTTTTAATGATAAATTGTTATCATGGAGTCATGTTTTCCTTTAAAAATGTCAGCACGTTCCCGCGATACAAATTGGAAACATAAGGTTTGTAATGTTTTATTTACTTGTTTTTAAATAGCAAATACACACCCTCCTTTGAAAATTTAAATAACAAAACCATTGTACATTTCATTTTTAACCCTATGAATTTTCTCCAACTACGGTTTAAAAAATTGCGGGTAAAACAAATTTTTTAGAGTGACACATTGAAATTTAAATAAAAAAAAATTATTTGTTTTTATATTTTATTTGTTTTTTCTTTTTACAGGAAATATCCTTTTTTAAAAAATTCGAAAAGCTTTTTGTGTTTTTTAGTCGCATAGTTATAGGAAGAAAACATTAAAAAAATTGCGAAAGTTGTTTGTAAATAGTAAATAAACTAAGCAATGTCTGAAAAAAAGAAAATACCGACTTTCTTTTTTGAACGTTAAACTGAGAAATATTTTGCTAAATTATTAAAAAAATTAATTACAGATGAAATATTTTAAGTTTTTAACGTATAATGAAATAGTATTTTTTTTAAATAATTTATTTAAAAATACTTTTATTAAAAAAACTTAAAAAGTGAAAGCGTTAAATTTTCAAAGAATTAAAAAATCAAACACCGATATTTTTATTGTCAAAAAATGAAATAAAAGTAAAACTGATAAATAGAAGTTGAAATTTCACATTTTGATACAAATTAGCATTTAACTAAACAATTGACAATATTTTGGTTACATTCATCATTTTATTTTATTTACGTAAAAAAACTAAAAAGAAAATTTTTTTAAAAACTTTAAAAAAGGAAGATTTTTTTTGCATGCAAAATTTAAAATTAATGAACCACTTTCTTTGTCTAACAAAATAACTATTTTTTTTTTATATATATAATTTTTTTTATGAAATATAAAGATTTATTTTTGTGATTATTTTTTTTGTTTGTGCGTGTCATTATGATACATTTTATTTTTTTTACGAGAATCTTGCTTGCCTTTAGTTTCTTGGAAATGGTTCTTAATTCTCTTCCGAGAAAATTGATTTGCGGTGCCTGAATTTCTTGGAAACGGTCCATTTCAAAATTGAACGGAATTTTTCGCATGTTTCCTATATATTGGTTCATGAATAATACTGAAAAAAAATTAATGTCTCTAAAGAAAAGAGAGGTAAATTCAAATGAGCTTACCAAGGCCATAGCTATTAGGTATGGCCTTGGCTTTCCTTTAACACGTAGGCGCACAGGGTGGTCGGAAAGTCTTGTCACTCCCTAATTTTCTATTTCAACTCTGTGGGATATTATTATCAAAGAGAGAGTTTCACTTAAACAATATCAGAATACCCATCAGTTGAAGGGTGCCGTTCGGAGCGCCTTTATTACAACTATCAACAAAGTACCGCTTCGTAAGAATATCACACAGCAGGACATGGCGCCGTATCATCTTCTTTTTGTGCCACGAAAATGGTGGTGTTCATACAGACCTTCTCGATGTGTGACAGCGTCAATGAAAGTGAATAAACTGAATCCAGTACATGTGCTTTGTATTTACCGTATTAATTACTTGTTCTGATATTGTTCTCATTACGTTAACTTTTGGTAGTGGGTGACAAGATTTTCGGACCGCCTTGTAGAAGTTTGTGAGGTCTGACTGTAAAAAGTAGATGGGCATCAACAAGAAATAACTAACTACAAAGAAGGGACCTGCATTGTCACCCTCCATGATTTATTTTAATAATTTGATGAAATGTGGGAAATTTATCCCGGCTTTCCCACATGAAAAGGTTAAAAGGTGACAAAATAAAAGCAACAACGATTTGAAACTTTAGAACGGACAATTCTCTCTCTTAAGAGGAAGAATAAAAACTCAAACTCCTGTTTGGGGTGTAACAATAGAGGAAAATGTTTATTTACATACACAAAAAATGTGAGAGAAAGAAAGAGAGAAGAAAATTCCTTTGAACTTACTTAAAGGAAGAAAAAGTGTTCATAACGGCTTGCTCAAAATATTTCTTTGAACGCCTAAAAGTTCTTTAAGTATTGTTCAGGAGTTCTGTTCACATTTCTTCAGGGCTTTTGTTGAGAGCGGAACGACCAAAATATCCGTAGTTTGTAGTTGAGTAATTTTGTAGTCAGACGACAGGAATTTCTTTCTAGGTGCAAGGAAGCAGATCTCAAAATTAGTTTTTAGCAGATGGCCGACGTTCTCTCTTTAGATCTCAGTGTGTAGATTTCTGCTTTGAAATAGGTTCTGGAAATGACTGGTGAAGAAAAAATCAATCATCTCCTCTTGTGTGTCGGTGTTTGGGTGATGTTAAAAGCCCAAATTTAAATGAAAAATTAAATTCTCAATCAAATTCAAGTTTTACCCGTGTACGATCTTACATTTATTTAAAATAAATTATACACAAGAAGACTAAAACTGCCGATTTTGTTCTCGGCTTCTTCATAGGAAACTAACAACAAAACTACTCAAAGAAGCAGACGATCTTAAAATTATTGGATACCAACCAAAATACAATGTTCACAGATAAATCTTTATTCTTATAAATAAAAAAAATTACATGAGTATTGTTCCATATGCTAAGAAGTAAGTAGTAACGAAAAGTAATGTTGAACAAAAAATAAAACGGATTTACTTTGTGGTGTTGTGGGAAGTGTATATTCGTTGGTAATTGTTGCTTGTATAAGAAGGTAGGTAAGCAGTAGCAGTCACTTATGGACAGCTGCTAGTTTGGCCTAAAGGTTCAACAAGCAATCAAATTGAGGTCACCATAACTAACATAAACAAACAAAATATGAAAGAGAAGGGTATATCAGAAACACTTTATATTTAAATACACGTCAATGATAAGTATAATGTTTCTTGATTAACACGCACAAAGTCCGTTATTAAAATGTTCATTCAAAGAAAAGAAATCAGATTATGAAAGGAATTAAAGTGTCATTTTGTGAATACTTAAGTTTAGGCGTGCGGGTCCCAGGAGATGAAAGGTGAGGTCAATGGGTTGGTAGGTGTCATTTGATATCTCCGTTGGTGAAGGAAAACTGGAGGCGTCGGGTTGATGGGTGAGAAAAGCGTAGCGACATTCTATGACGGTAACAAGGCTTTCTGACCAGAAGTGAATTCATCATTCTATTTATGTGTGTCCATCGGATCTGAGTCAGTATGCTGAAACAAACTGTTGGATATGGGCGGGGCCGTTTAATTGGTGGAAATTGCTTATTGTATTCTTTTTATTTCTTTTTTGATTTTCCACGGAACTTATCGTCGAGCCTGGTGCGCAAAGACCAGTATTGGTCATTTGCTATCTAGACCTCTGAGGGTTAACATCCGGTCCTTCGCTTGCTCAGTACCACCACATAACTTTCGCCCCAGTAAACGGAGTTGTTGTTGTTGTTTTTTTTTTTTTTTTTTTGTTATATCAGTAATAAAAATATGTGTTTTCTTTCTTCCATTTAACCGTTCTACCGGACTTCGTTCTAGTTTCTGGTTTGTTATCATTAGTTTCTTCGGAACAAGATAGGGAGTTATCCAAATCTGGTCTTGATCCAATGGAATCTTTTGATTTTATATTTTCAGAAATATATGCAGGTTTTAGTCTATCTATTGAAACATTACTATGTACATCATCCGATCTTTTAATAGTAAAATATTTTTCATGACGACTTAATACTTGGAATGGACCTGTGTATGGAGCTTCCAATGGCTTTCTTACTCTGTCTGTTCTTAGCCAGATACTTTTACATGTTTGTAAATCTTTTGGAATGTAAGAATTAGGTATTGTATGCAGGTGTCCCCTGGATAATTTGTCCATGTCAAATTTTTTGCATCTCGTCGGCTAGAATTTTAACGTCATGAGTTTGTCATTTCACTATTCTTGTTCTTGATAGAGTCAATTAATAATCGGGGACTTATGCATGACTCCCTGTTACTGCAGTAAATGAAGAATAGTTTGATTCGTTAGGTGTTATCCTCATTCCCAAAAGGACGATAGGAAGAGTTGATAACCACGATTCTTTCCTGGCTATAATAGCCGTTTTTAAAGTTCTGTGTGCTCGCTCAACTAATCCATTCGTTTTTATGGATGGTACGCCGTTGTTCGTAATCTGTGGAAGCCTATTATTTTTGATAGTTCTGAGAATAATTGATTCAAATTGGCTTCCTCTGTCCGTAACGACATGAAGAGGAACCCCGAATCGGAGATCCACAGATTGACAAAAAGCCGTTGATATTGATTTTGCCGTAATTTCTGTTATTGGGCATGCTTCTATCCATCTCGTATTTCTATCAACGCATGTTAATAAATATTGATATGGTGAAAAATAAGAGTCAGTTTGGTTCTTTACTGGTGGTAAGGGACCGACAATATCCACATGCACGTTTCAAAACGACTGGAAGGTAATTCAAATGGATTTACTTTTGCTCTTTGTGTGTTTTATTTTTTTTGCTTGTTGGCAATGCTGGCATTCTGTGCACCAGGTTTTTATTGACTTGTCCATCTTGGCCAATAGTATCTGGATTTTATTATTTTTCTTGAAGATGTTATTCCTGGATGTGATAGATTATGCAGACTGTCAAATACCGATTTTCTGAGCTTCTCAGTCACAAAAGGTCGTGGAAAAGGTAATGTCGTGTCACATAATATGGTTTCATTTTGATTTATTGTGTATGGTTTCAGTTGATCTTTGAATGCCTGAATTTCATTGTCAGTAGCTTGATGCTTCATTATTTCTTGTAAGTCACATACATCAATAGTGATCGCGTTGACAGGTCGTGATAAACAATCAGCTACTATATTTTGTGAACCTCTTATATGTGAAATGTCATTCACATATTCGCTGATAAAACAGAGGTGACGCTGTTGTCTATCTGATTTTAAGGAAGACTGGCTTTTAAAAGCACTGCAAAGTGGTTTGTGATCCGTCAGTAACCTTACATTTCTGCCTTCTATTAAATGTTTAAAATGGAGTACTGCTAGATAGGCAGCTAGTAGTTCTCTGTCAAAAGTAGAATATTTTTGTTGGGTTTGGGATAATTTCTTTGAAAAGAACCTATGGGGATGGGTTG